AGGACAGTGTAGCAGACTTTTCTCTTGTGGCACCCATTATTTTGGCGATAAAGCTTGCCTTGGAATGGGAAGAAGATCCGGTGCCAGCACAGAAACAAAGGAAATACTTTGTAAATCATAAGAAAGAGTTGTCTTCCTTCCCTCTTTTCTATGAGATCAGAGAAATTATTAAGGAAGAGTGGTCTAGGCCAGATAAGAGGTCAAGCTTGTCGACCCATTTTTCAAAGCTGTACCTATGCCTCCCAGCATATTCGGAGGTGTGCGATACCTCTCCCAGAGTGGATGCTGCTCTGCAAAGATTGACTATTCATGTTGTATTACCATTAGAAGATTTAGTTTTGTTTAAGGATAGCATGGATCGAAAGATAGAATCGTATTTTAAAAAAATCTACTCAGCCACAGGGGCAGCTTGCAGACCTGCAGTAGCTTTGTCTTCTGTGAGGGAAATAGTGTCGGTCACAAATCTGCAAGAAGGAAAGGGAGTCTACTCACCTCCTTTTTTGGTCTGAAAGCCTTCGGAGAAATTCAGGCCAATTTTGGACCTGAAAAGGTTGAGCAGATACATGAAAGTAGAGTGTTTCAGAATGGATTCCCTTAAAACGATAAAGGAAATCGTGAGGCCGAAAGATTGGATATTGTCAGTAGATCTGGCAGATGCGTATTTTCACATACCCATAGCAATAGAAGATCAGCGGTTTTTGAGGTTCAAAGTGGGCCAAGACCATTTACAATTTTGATGTCTGCCATTTGGCCTGTTGTCTGCTCTGAGAAAGTTCACCAAGATTTTTGTGTTTCTGAAAGCTGTCATGAGACTGCAGAGCATAAGGGTGCATCACTATCTGGACGATGTTCTGCTGCTAGGGCAGTTGAAAATTCTGAGGCACAAGAAGATAGTTGGAATACCTCGGCATGGTTTTCTATACAGTGCAGGGAAATATTTTTTTTCCTCATGACAAGGTTCGTAAAGTCATCCAGGCATCCAGTCTGATGAGGAAGTCCGTGTTCTGCATAGCCAGTTCTTGCCTGAGTTTCCTAGGCTTGCTCTCATCAACAATCCCCATTGGCACACACGACACATTCTGTTTCCGCCGTACTGTGAGTTCTGTGAGTTTCTCCAGAGGCAGAACACTCAACCCTGGAGACTGGATCATGATTACCTCGAATGCAAGTATCCAGGGTTGGTGAGACTATTGCCAGGGGCATTTTGCTCAGTCCAAATTGGGAATGCCTATCTGTCATTAATCGAATGCAAGGGAACTTCAGGCTGCCTTTGAAGCCTTGCAGGCTTTTCACCATCTAATAAAGGGCACTCGGGTCAAGATTCAGATGGACAACAAAACTGCGGCTTTGTATGTAGTTTGCCAGGGAGAAACCAAAAGCCTGTCCCTTCTAAGAATGCCATCTTCCTTGATTTATTGGGCTGAGAGGCATCTGCTAGATCTGACTGCTGCATACCTTGCATGAACAGAGAACACTGTCGCAGATAGGTCACATCGAGTACTCCAGGACCCGAACGAATGGGCCTTGAATCCACGCTACCTGAGGCCCATATTCAACCAGTGGGGAATTCTGCAAATAGACCTGATGGCGACCGAGAGCAACATGAAGCTGCCAATCTTCTACTCCTGGTATTTATTGGAAACACTTTTGAAGGCTACTAAACTGTCCACCAAGTCAACATACCACAGAGTATGGGAGACGTTTCTGTCTATTGCTTCCAGTAAAGGCTGGAATCCTGAAAGTCCTAGAGTGGGGCAGATCCTTGCCTTTCTTCAGTCGGCCCTGGATGCTGGTCTCAGTTAAAACACCTTGCGAGTTCAAATATCGACTCTATTGGCTTTGGCCTAAGCGGATCAGACCTCCGGTTAGACCTTTCTTCCTGAAATGGCTGCCTGTATTGAAAAGGCTGGTAAAGCTTCCTTTTCTCCCATGTTGTCACATTCCCTATATCATCTAACAGTATTTATTATGGAAATCCTGTCAGCCAGAAGAGTATCTGAATTATGGGCCTTCCCTTTTAAGGAGCTCAACTGTTAATTTTTTCCAGATAGGGTTGCTTTAAATCCCATGCCAGAATTTTTACCTAAGGTGTCTGCAGAATTCCATGTTAATTGGGAGTCAGTACTTCCAGCTATAAAGGAAGAAGACTTGCCAGAGAAGAGGAGTTCCTGAATTGATTGGATGCAGTCAACGTGATTTCTACCTACATTACTAGAACCAAAAAGTATTGCACTTGGTATGTTTGTTCTATCCAAAGAGCCTAAGAAAGGAGCAGCTGCCTCTACCAGAATGTTGTCCTTGTGGGTGGTTAAGACAATACAGCTTGCTTATGCGTTGGCTGGCTTTTCTCCTCCTCAAGAAGTTAAGGCCCACTCAACAAGATCAGTAGCTACCTCCTGGGCTGTCTACTCTAAAGTCCCAGCAAAGATTGTATGCAAAGCGGCTAGCTGGCCCTCTCCAAATACCTTAATTCGTTGGTTGTTTACACTTCTTCTGATTGTTTTTTTTGAGCTGCTGTGCTCTCTTCTGCGTATTCTCAAGAATAAATAATTTTTTTTGCATTGTTATCCCTCTCATTTTTTTCTGGTGCTAGCTGTATCCCGTGGTATGTTGAGCAAGAAGTAGGGAAATTGTACATATTTACCGTAGTTTTCCTTTCCTGGTTCTCCCCCATGTCAGCATAGTTTCCCACTCTCTAAAGTGCCTTCATTTGCCGTGTTATGGAATGCGTGGTGAGTGAATGAGGGGGAATTTATGATCTAGCGAGAGTGGTCCTACTCGGGGTTGAGGGCAGAGGAAAGGTGACAAGGGGAAGAGCAGGAAAGGAAAAAATGGTAAGTATGAACAACAATTTTCCCATATATATATATATAACGGAAAATTGTATACTTACCTATCGATAATTTTCCTTTCCTGGTGCCAATCCATGGCAGCATACAATGGGTATGGCTCCGTCCCCAGCCCAATCACAGGACCAGTTATACTATAAATTAAAGCCCGCCTCCCAAGGCCACCATTCTCATAACAAGTACTCAATGCGAAAGCCATGGGAGGGTCCTGTATGCTGCCATGGATTGGCGTCAGGAAAGGAAAATTACCGATAGGTAAGTATACAATTTTCCGTTTTCCTGACACCAATCCATGGCAGCATACAATGGGATATAGCAATCACACATCCAGGGATGGTAATTCTGAGATATTTATTTATTTGTACCACATTCAGAACCAACTTCACCTTGGGCAAGATTCCTAGATAGACCCTGTAATGGGACAGGAACAGATCCCAGGTTACCGCCTTCCAGAATAAATCTGGAGGTACATCACTAAATTCTATCCGTAAGGAGACATCCCTCGGAAGAGCGAACCCAGAGACTAATCTGTGGCTCCATCTGCCTGATCAGGCACAATGCATGTGACCTCGTGCACACAGAGTGCTACTTCCTAAACGCACCAGAAAGGTGAACAGATCGACCTGAAAGAATACGAGGTAACTTCCATGTTCCTCCCCAGCATAGCAGCCACATTTCGGGCATAAGCTAAAACAAAAAACTTGTCTGTGAAATGGAAGCAATAAGGTGGTGTGAAGGCTAATCCTGACTATCCAACACCCTCCTCCCCGAGGAGATTGCTGTAAGAAACTATTCCCCCTGAAGGATTGTCACCGATCTCGGATTAAAAGGCTTTTGAAGTGATTTGCACATAGGAATCCTTTATCAACCCGATCCCTGGGTAGGGACATAGATAACAATTGAAACAGGCTCGCCGGCTGTAGCCACAACCAACAATCTCATATTTGGAATCATCCAGAATCAATGGCACAGGGAATGTCTTCTCTGTCGTCTGAAGAACCCTGTTGAAAGACTTTTAGCCTCCAATAAGTATAGGATCACGTGCCAGAGGAAACTGTGCGACGCCCAGGCAGCAGGCAAGCAATGATGCAATCAGAGGATATAAAAGAGACTGCAGTCTGCACATGTCCAAAATGGCTGCCACCATGAGGACAAGGTAAGACCTTGACAACACCAAGGGGTAGGATAGAAGCATTCCCCCTTGGCGATCACTTTTAACTTGATCAGAGCCTAATGTAAAAATGGTTCCATGGACTGCTAGAGTATGAGCATGCTGAACAACCAGCAGGATGACGCTTCAATAGTTGGAATACTCGTTCACTCAAGAAGGCTGTGACTGGATGCCATCTTTTGGAAAATGACCGAGTGTGGCGAGGCCAAAGGGCAGGTAAACAAACAAAAGTGGAACTTTAGAATGGCAAGTCACACATTTGATGAAGGACAGGTGCACAGGAATGTGAGCCCACATCTGCCAGGCACAGTGTCCCATAGTCAGTTTCTGGCTTAAGTGATGGATATAGTGATTCCATATGCAATATTTGGATCCTGATCCATTTGTTTAAAGTGTTCAGACCAAGACCAGTCTGAAGTCTCCTGGTTGTCCCACTAGGACAATTAGAGGATAAAAGCTTGATATCTTTGGACTGGAAAAGATTACGAGACACTATTTGGATATGTGTACATATAACCCAGCTTTGCTTGCACCAAGGAACCTGATGGTAATGAGAGAAGAAAAACCTGACCATGTCTATATATATGCTTGTCTTGGAGGTGTGTGCAACAGACTCTGCTGTTATTCAGTACCTGTTAACATTACTGCAGGTGACACCTAAAAATACACTCCCTACCACAGTAGGGTGTGTATTTTATACAGTTATATACAAAAGGACAAGGCTTACAGGTAAGGAAGCATAGCTGGGGGGCTTTTTTTTTTTTTATTAAAAGGAACCATTATTGCAATACAGCACAGTGATGTAGATTGTTGTGGTTGTTGCTACACCCATAATCAAAAACTGCAAAGTATTCAGCCATTTTTATTTTGTAATATTACAGTATAGGCTCATTACAGCAGATTTACTTCTGTTTTTTTTTATTGCTTAGTTACTATTCTTTAATGAATTCCTGCTATCTTAATGTCTGTTTTTACTACAGCAATACTTTCATGCTGGGGGAAGCGGCCTGAAAAAGAATTTCTTGGAGAAGAGCCCAGACCTCCAGTCTCTGAAATATGCTCTCAGCCTATACACTCAAACTACTGATGCTTTGATAAAAAAATTTATAGATACTCAGACATCTCAAGGTAAGTGTGCTTCATTTGTAAACTCCCAGTAATTAAAATCCTGGCAAGAAGTAAAGATATGGAAATAAACAGCAATATTTAGAGGAATGGCAGAGATGCCATTTTCATTAGTATTCTGTATATTATTCAAATTGTCTATAATGAATAAGCACAGCTTCTCTGTTTTCTGCAAAACCCAGAGTAATGTTGTTATTTGTGTGGTGGGGGTTATTTGATTTTACAGCAACAAATGAAATGTAAAAAGAATACTAATTATTTTCTAAACCCAGAAAAAAACAGTTAAAGCTCTTGCATGCTAGGATCCTTTTGTTTTTGTGCCTTAAGGCTACTAGGAAGAAAACCTCTTCATTCTACCCGTGGTTATGACAGCTTAGGTTGCGGGAAAACTACACAACTCTAAGAAGATGTATGCTCAAAAAGGCACAAAAACAAAAGAACCCTATCAGTGTCTGTGCTCAAACAAATCATTGATGGTTTCAGTGTGGAGAAAATAAGGGGTTTTCTACAGTGGCGTAACTAGAACCTTTAATCCCCCTGGTGCAAGAAACCGTCCCCCCACCCCCCACCACCATGGCACCGCATGGTTAACAGGAAGGCTGCCAAGGTCCCCAGCAAGCACGGGACCTCAGGCAGACGCTTTTTTACAATTTTAGTGCCGCTGTTCTGTCGAACGCCGACCCAGTATCTGCGCTTAGACAGACGGGATTAACGAGGAAACTGGAATTTATTTTCATAGTATGCATTTGTAATTGTTAATTGTGACCGTTAATAATATGCCATCCATGGCAGTAAATGATGGATGGCAGTTAATGATGGATGGAATATTATTAATGGTCACAATGAACAATTTAAACAAAATACTTTGTGAATAAATCCCTGTTCCCTCGATAATACTGGTCTGTGCGCAAGCGCAAATGCTGAGGTCGGCAAATTTCGACTACGTCGGCGTTCTCGACAGAACACCGGTGTCTGCATTTAGTATTGGGGCATTTTCACGAGTATGAGTACTCGTGAAAATGCCCAGTATTGGCAGTGATGTATCCCTACTTAAAAATAGAATGCATTGCTGGGACTTGTAGTCCTACATAGTTGGTGCTATTCTGCATTGCTGTATAATTATCATACAGCAAGGCAGAATACCACCAGCTATGCGGGACTACAAGTCCCAGCAATACATTATAATAAAAGTCAGCTATGCAGAATACCACCAGCACACCACCCCCCCCCACTTCCCCACACCCCCTCCCTTCCCACTCCAGACTTACCTTACCTCTCCTGCAGGGCCCTTTTTCGTGTCTCAGCGGCCAGGGGGCGGGGCTAAGTGTAGAGGGTCCTGCAGCACACGGGACTATTGTGACAGCCTCTCCAGCCCTGCCGCACAGCCGCCCGAACATGCTGCGGGTGGCAGAGCGGCTGGGAAGGAGCGGCACTATCTTGGGGGGGCCCTCTTCTTCCTCGCTGGGCCCCCTCCAGCAGGCAAAACGCCAGGGCCCGGTCGCAAGTGAGACTGCTGCAACCCTCGTAGTTCCGCCAGTGGTTTTCTACGTATTAGTCTAAAGGCGGAAAGCCCCTTTCAAGTTTATACTTTTCAGTGTCATCAGCAGCATAATGCTTTAAAAAAGTCATGGTTTTATAACATTTTGCTCTCTCATACCCCCGTGTAATAATATATAGAGGTCAACTGTGTAAGCAACAGAGGGACCCTTTTACTGTTGTTTATAGTTAGAGAACTAACGCTCATCTCCTGTATATTAATTTCTTAAATCAGTATTCTACTTACATAAAAATGAAATATTAAGCTTTTTTATACAGCATTCTGAAATTTTACTTCACATGGCTAACACTGTACAATAGTCTGCTAATGTAATAGAGCATAAGAAACATTAAAAACAGTCCGTACCAACACAGTCATATTGACATAAAGGAGTTGATTTACTTAAACAAATAAGCTTTTCACCTTTTAAAGGAATTTTCCCTTATCCTAGTGAACGAACTAAAGATCTGCTGACTTCATCACCCAATTATGTGCAAGGAAAAATACTTTCTATTTTTATTTTCCTTGCATGTGAATGGGAATTTCACAACATTCAGTAAGCTAAGGGAAAATTCCCCTGCAAAGTGAACAACCTATTTGCCTTTAGTAAATCAACCCCACACACTCAAGAGCCAGATTCATCAACAAAGTAGGCACTGGGGGAAAAAAAAAGTTGGTGTCCCCCTAAAATTCCATACCAGACTCTTGATCCGATCATAGGCCTGGCAGGGCAGGAAAGGGGGAAGGATGAGCGAGTGCCCCCCTCCATCCTATACAAGGCAACATGCCTACGGCACTGGGAGGGTGCTTTTGCTAGGGTCACCCCTGGAAAAGCACCTTGTCCCTGTGCCGATGGGGACAAGGGCCTCTTCCCCATAAGCCCTGGTGCTTTGGTTGTGGGGGTGCGGGAAGGGGGTTTATTCACATCAAGGTACTCCTTTAATAAAGGGGCATCCAGATGCATCCCCCCCCCCTTGTGAATGAGTAATGGTTACTTAAACCCCTACCCATTCACTAAAGGGTTAAATACACTTTTTTTTAAGAGGCCAGACTTTTGAAAAAATCCTTTAATTGCAAAAAAAACAAAAGACACGTTTTTGCTGAACACACAAACTGCTGATGTTGGAGTCAAACTCATGCTCGACTCGAACATTGAGCCCCTCCCTAATCTTCATTATCAATATTACACTAGCTGTGCACATTGTTTGTCCTAACAAAGAAAAGTTAGAGATCTCAAGATTTGGGTAATAAATATAGTCTTAGGTAATAAATAAAGTCTTATGTATAACCTTGCTCTAAAGAAACTATAAAGCTAAGATATTTTTATATAAAAAATATACCTTTTAATTATGTTGTATGAACATAAACCAAACATATAGTGTGTATGTGTGTGGGGGGAGTGGGGGTTAAAATTTGACTGCAAAGGTCGGAAATACACTTTAAAGATGTTTCAATATTGGCAAAATGGATGGCAAGGAAGCGACCGCACCAAAGCTTATTACTAAAACTAGTTTAGATTATAAATTGAAAGTTCTGAATGGTCTTGCTTTTATTATGAATATTACATGTAACAGCAGAAATATTAGAACAATTATCTGTTATTTCATTGTTATTTCAATATTCTGATCACTCATGCATCATATACATAGGTGTGAGTGTCTCATAACACAACTTTAAACAATTACTCTCTCATCTGTGTGCAATTGATAGTAGTAATCTGTGCTCTACTTTACTATATTTTTTATAACAACTGCTTCTTCCTTTCATGGGCTAGGTTATATAGGACTTATCTCAGGGCGAGATTAAGGGCAATGGATGCCATACGAACAGCCCAACAATGATGCCCCCTTTTGCCCCTCCATTGCTTAACCAACAAGTATTTTAGTCTATAGGGCTGCAATGTGCCTGCACATCCAGAAGAAAAGAGGAAGACTGGGATGTACATAAATAATGGGGGGCTCTGGTAGTTCCGATTTTGACAAGTACACATCTGTAGAGGGGGAGGGTGGGATTGGTTAGCTCAGCGCAAAGGGGCAAAAATAATAAATGCACTTTGTGTTAAGGTGCACTTATTCTTTAAGGAGATAATAGCTTAATGATTTCACTACACAGTATGAGCTTCTTCTGGTGTGCATTCAAAGCTTCACCCGGTCAGATAAAGTCCACCTTATTTCCTAACTGGAGTATTAAAAAAAGGTGTGAGGTTTTTCAGTTTGTTTTCTTAAGAAAGCAGCCACAGTTTCGGTAGAAAATGCAGTCCTCAGCATGCTACAGAGCATATCACATAAGTTAGAACTAAAGGTCTTCAATCAGCAGGGAGCATGAGTTTTACTGATTGGAGAAAGCTGGCTATGCACCTTAAGATTTTTCTTATATAGCCCCAGAGGCCAAACGAGAGGAATATTTTGATTCCCCCATCCAAGCTAAACAGCATGGATGGAGAAATATCCACTGCCAGCTATTGAATTGTGACAGCTGGTACCTAATTGGATGCAGTCTCTGTTCAGCCAACAATTTTCCACCCTGCTCCTTTGACAAAAGTTGACTTTTCTAATGCAGGGGGGTGAAGGGGGATAGTGGTGCTGACAGGGTCACTTACAGATTGAATTTGGTCCGAATGCAAGAAAAAGACAAAATTTAATGACGTGTGGCCAGCATAACTCTGACTGAGCAATGCACTTAACTCTGAGTAAGCAAAGTGTATGTTGCACAACTGCAGGGAGATCTCTGCCTTCCACACAGAGAGCAAGGGTCCTTCTCTGCAGCATGCTAGCAGTGGACAGGGTTTTCTATTAAGGCTGTTACAGCTTTCTAAAAAAAGCAAACTGTAAAACTCTGCCACCCTTTATAATATGTATATTGATATATATCTATATATAGATATCTGTAATGAATATATCTGATTTAAAATGAAAGTTCAGATGGGCTTTATTTTCTAATTACAAGAACTATTTCCATTCAGCATTTGTGTATAACTGCTAGCATTCTTTAATAGATTTAGAATAAAATCACTACTATCCTACATATTTATAACCACAACTGTATCACCTAAGCTACACCTCTTTAAATCAAAGCCCAACATTCAATTTTTAAGTGGAAATTAGAGCAACCACAGCCGTTGCTCATTGTAGGCACGAGATTTGGGTATGACTGTTTGACCCAACCCAACCTGTTTGCGGTTCACCGTTTGCCTATCCATCCTCAGCGAATGCAAACAAACAGCTGGGTACCATGGGCAATGCTATTGACCAAATTTGGTCAAAGATGTCACCCAGGATCCCCAGCTGTTTGGCTATATTCTAGCAGCCTGGGATATGTTACTAAGTGATGGGAGTGCACCAGGGAAACATCATCGGGTGCTGGTCACTGTGGCAGCGGGGAAACATGATTGGGCACCAGGTTGTGATGACTGATGAGGATTTGCCTATGGGCAATTTGGAGTAATATCGTTTTTTAGTGTATTTTA